TTTGAACAAACTGGCAGGCTGCCGAATGCAACCTGCCTACACGGCAGAGTCTGGCAAACTACCTGTAGCGTACCCAATATGCCAAATACCAGTAACAATGATGAGTCTCATTTTCCTAACCCCGAAAGAGCCTTGAATATGGCACTTTTTAAAAAATCTCAGGGCTAGGACGAAGGAGATGTTACTGGGGCCTGCTCGAGGCAATTGACAAACAACAGGATGGTCATGATCATGATCATGATCGTGATCGTGATCCAGAGACTCATAAATAAATCTCAAAAGAGATCGACAAGCTACAGAGATGCTTCCGAACACAAAGTCACCATCCAGTTAAAAATTAACCTCCAGCTTATTGCAACATTTAAAATTTTAGGATTCCTGGACTGCATGGCCATGAATCAGCATCTCATACACTACACCACTGATATTCCAGGAGTAGCACACCACATTGGGATGGATGTGAAAGGCATACAATCTCAATTAAGAAGATATTAATGGGGGTATGGTGCCCCCAGCAGGTCAATCTGTACCTGTGAGGTGAGTCCGTCAGCAGCCTGATGGCACCGTCAGACTTTCAGATACCCCAAAATTGCTGCTGTGCCTTTGGCCAAACCCCAAAAACTTGGGGCAAAGTTTACCAAGAAAGTAAACGGCCAAAAGTTAGGTATGTGGGAGACAAACCCACAAACCACCTCTGGCTCAGCTATATAATTGGAGGCATAGCCTCTCTGGTTCCTGATCGAAGTGCTTAACGGCCATGATCCCAGAGACTCAGAAACGAATCTCGGAACCCAAAGGCTTTTGGCAAAAATGCGTCCTGTTCCTGCAATAGGTTATTGGCCCTGGGTCACTCCAGGTGGGAATAGGTTTTGTGCCTTGGTCTGTTCCTCCTGGTGGCCTGGTGACCACCATTCTCCAGAGGCCACTGGACAGTCAGGTTTGGAACTGCAGTGACGAGACGCATGGGGCCTCACCAGATGGGAGTGGAACCGGCCCTTTTCTCCCCATCCCAACAAGACCCCGAGTTGCCGCCTACAAATGGCCTCTCTGGCTCCTGATCAAGCTGATTAATGGCCATGATCCCAGAGACTCAGAAACAAATCTCGAAACCCAGCTGCTTTCAGCAGAAAAATCTGGACCACATACAAGATGGCCACTGCCTCAGAGCTTATAGGAAAGTCAGGTATGAGCCGGCGGTGATGGGGCAACTGCAGTCTCATGGGAAGGGGGATGGTACCGGCTCGTCCTTCACGCCCTACTGAGGTCACGAGTTGCCCCCCACGAGCAGCTCTCCAGCACGGCCATGGCTCCAGAGGCAAAAGCACTTAGTCCAGAGCCCAGCAGCTTGCGGCAGAAAAGTGAATGGAGCATGCGTTAAACTACAGTGCTATGCCTCCTGGGAGGGAAAGGGTGTTGCTGCCTTCCGCCTCCCCCTCCCCCCCCCCCCCGCCCCCGCCTCCGGCAGCAATGTGGCCACAGCCTAAGAGCCTATTGGAAAGCCAGGTATGAGCTGGTGGTGACGTGGCAGCTACAGTCTCATGGGAAGGGGGAGGCGGTACCGGCTTGTCCTTCATGCCCTACCGAGGTCACGAGTTGCCCCCCATGAGCAGCTCTCCAGCACAGTCATAACACCAGACACACAGAAACCAGTCTCGTAATTATCTGGCTCTTTGCAGAAATCTAAAATCATTATATGATTCTCATAACCAACTATAGAAAACAAAGTATTTCACAATGTCTTTTCAGCAATTCTAATTGTTGGGGGGGGGGGAATTCTAAACAATAATGATACACCTTTTGTCGAAATAATGAATGTAATCAATATAGAGAAGAGTTAAGTAGAAATCATCTGCCTCACAGGCATTGGGAGGGGTGGGAGGGGGGTATATTGGGGTTCTTGGTGGTGAAAAATGAGTACTGGCAAAGGGAAAGGTGTTTGATCATTGTATGACCGAGACAAACCTGAAAGCTTAGTAACTTTTCCCACAGTGATTCAATAAATAAATATAAGAAGAAAATAAATAAATAAATAAAATTATGAAAAAAAGTAAGGTGGAGTTCATGCCCAATTCAATCAGCTAATCAGTAGCTGAATAAATAGCAGTACTCCTACATTAAAAAAAAAGAAGAAGATATTGACACACAAGGCTTATGCTGTAACAACATGTTCATGATTTCTTAAACAAGAGCTTAATATCTCCAGGGTGAGATACAAAACCCTTCACTCAATTTCTTCTAAGGAAATATTTTTTGATTATTTTTAGTCAATTATTTATAATGAAGAATACAAAATAAATTATTTAGAGCAAGCTATAGGGCAGGCTTGGGTGGTGGTTGGGAAAATGGGAAATAATGGTGGTGGGAAGGTGTAATGGTGGTGGGATTAGTGTCAGAATACTGAATGCAATAAATCATCATGAACAACTTCGTAAAAATAAAATTTAAAAACAACAAAAATACAAAAATAAAAATCTGAAGATATTTTAAGGAAGTTTCACAATGCAATATTTGACACCTTCCCTAATGTCTTTTTTATTATAATTATACAGAGAAAACAAAACATGGTTTGCTCTTACTGGTTTGCTAAACCCAAAGACCTTCCCCTTTACTTCAAGTTCCTCCAAGCAGGAAAACAATTTGTGTGTGTATATTTTGTCCTGACAAAGTCTGCGAAGCACTGAAAGTACAGTCAAACAGCTTATGTGTGCTGAGCTCAGAGTCAGGCTCCTGGAATTTAATTCTTTGCTGTACATTTGTTGACCAGTTGGGTGATACTGAGTTGGGAGATACAGCCTTTCTGTTCTTCATTCCCTTACAACTGAATGCTGCTATCAACAGTAATTGCCTTAGAGGAGAGAATGAATTAAAGACGTCGGCCAGAACTCCAGTAGCAACCAATGCACAGGCTCTGTGCACTGAAAGGAACCAGAATTGTCAGTAGTTTAGGAAGAGAAGGCAGGAATGGGAAGATTTGCTTTTCTCCCTCCCTTGGCCTGACCTATGACCTTCTCAGATACTCTATGTTGCATAAGAGGAGAGAGAAACAGAAGGATAGAAGTGAGTGGTAACTAACTTAAGAGCAGGAGCAGAAAAGGCTAACGGGAAATATAAATAGAATTTTATATTTACTGATCCCCACGATTCCTTCTCTTTTCAGCTTTCAATAAAGAAAATGGTTCTGAAAACTCCCTCTGTTGTTTCCTACTAAGAAAGGCTAACTGTCCGAGGAGAATTTTAATTAAGTTTATTAAGAGTAGAAGTGAGGGAAGGTAGTTCAAAGGGTTGGTGTGCATGCTTTGTGCTAGAAACCCGAGGTAAATTTCTGGCAGCACATGGTCCCTGAGCACTGAGCTGGGAGTAGCCTCTGAACATCCCTGAGCATGGCCTTAAAACAAAACAAAGCAACAACAAAAAAGTAGAAGTAAATCCCCTACAGCAGTCAGTTTCTGTATAGAAATGTGAAAAATAAAATAAAGTCTCCTAAAGAAGAACTGGCACAAATCTCCACAGTTAACCACCTTCTCTCAGCATATGCTTTAGGAGATGAATGGAGACTTTCATGTAGCAAAAAGGAGACAGTTCAGATAGGAAGACAGAACGTTTGTGAGTGATGAGGTGACTAAAGATGCCAGTTGGTAGGAGGAGTAAAAAAATAGCTTCATAAATATTTTTAAAATATGTTAGGATCTCCAGAAATATTCATAAACTTTCCCAGCTAAATATGAATTTTAATCAGTAGAACTAGGGAGAAAATACATTTCCATATGTATACTCTGTTTATAAATATAGAGATATGTCACATTTGCATCTTTGGCTTCAATATTTCATGAAAATGAAACTCAGAGCTAACGCACGTGGTCTCCAGACATACACAACCTGTCATTCGGTACTTGTCCAATGAACTGAGCAAAATGCCTTGTACAGATCCCGTTTTTTCTTTTCTTGAAGCAGCCCTCATATGAACCTCCACGTGTATGAATGCTGCTAGATTCTTATTTGCAGTTATACACATTTCCTCTCTTGCCCTCACTCCAAGGCTGACACTAGAAAAAAAGCTCAACTCATTAACTCTCACTGCTGAGTTTAAAAACATGCACTCAGGGCACTAGAGAGAGTATAGGGCCGTGCATACACCTGAGCCTGACCAAATTCTCAGCATCACAAGGTCCCTGAGCATCACTACATGCAACCCTGGAGGCCCAGTGATAGAGTGACCTGGGTAATTCCTGGCACCACAGGGCCTGAACAGCCCTTCGCCCCCAAATCCCCGCACTGAACCTCTGGCTGGTGACTGAGACTCATCTGGAGGGACCCTTAGACCTTCTGAGCACTAATTGGGAGACCCAAACAAGACAAGACAGAACAAAACTGCTCAAGTAGTTGACCTTTCTGGTCTTTTCTTTCTAACTCTTCTAGATCCCCACTCACCACCTTTCGTCCCTGATAGACTTACGATGATGCTTTTATGTGTTCTTGTGTCCACTCCAGAGCTGACTACAGAGCATTCAAAAGGGACACACATCCCAGGATGGGGTTGGGCAATAGTGATTGGGCAGGCAGCCTTAGAGGTCAGTAATTGTCATATTATGCCAATGGCACTGCTGCTGAGCCTGTCGCTCCCCAGATTTTCCTCTACTACTATCAAAGTGACTAGGGGGATGTCCAAATTGTGACCGTGGGAGCTACCAAAAGTGGGGCACCTGTCCATGTGAGGGGAGAATCCAACTAGTAGGTGAGGAGGGGAAAGAGTAAAGGAAGGGCTTTCCTTCCCCTGTAAGACCCTTGCTCTTCTGCAAGGCAAGAGGATTTGGTCCAACCTTCACAGCTTTTCAGCTCTCCTGTTTTGTATGATTTCTGGGCAGAGTAGAGAGAAGACACTCCCTTTACTGAACCCAAGGCAGGCTGTGCCAATGGCCCATTCTCTTTAGAGCTAAATTAATTATCCTGTTGGGAGTCTAGCTTTTAAAAGGGCTGACAGACTGAGTCGATGAACAACTTACATTCAGAGTCCTCACTCTTGAAAAAGCCGATGAGTTTGATCTGGTCCTCAATGCGTTCAAAGGCTTGAACTTCCAGTTTGTTGTTGATGACCTCCACGGGATCTTCAATTAGCTAGAATGTTACACACACACACACACAAACATACACATCAACAAAACATTGTTTCAAATAGGGAAATCAGGGCCAGAGGAAGAGAGTTTGGGAGGGAAGTTGAGGACTTTGTGGCTGAGCTTCAGCATAGTCCCACCCAGTCTTTAGAAAAGGTAAAGGTAAAGGTCCTCCCGTTGATCGTCGATTTGCTCGAGCGGGCCCAGTAACGTCTCCATTGGAGACTTTGTTGTTACTGTGTCTGGCATATCGAATACTCTCGGTAGCTTGCCGGGCTCTCCGAGAGGGGCGGAGGAATCGAACTCGGGTCGGCCATGTTGGCCGCGTGTAAGGCGAACGCCCTACCCGCTGTGCTATCTCTCCAGTTTTTCTTTAGAAAAACTGACCCAAATTCCAGAGGATGGCTGATTGCTTGGGAGAAGTGAGGGGTGTAATTCTATTTCTCTTGAAAATATTGCTTTAGGAATAGCTTGCAAGTTAATTATGGACAGTGAATTTCCAGGACAGATTAGCTAAAGACTTTGGGAACAGTATCTCCTTTGAAGAGCACAGTGGGAGATCTCCTTTTTATTAGATAAGGAACTATATGGTATCAACTCCTTTTTTAATGGTTGTGTTAAAATTAACTTAAGAGAGTTCCCTTGAAGACAAAGTCAGTCAAGCAAACTCATGTATGATTTACAAAGAAAAATGGATGGTAGACATCCAAAAGAACAAAAACAACTGGTGCTGGTGCAGATGTGGTGAGAAAGGGACACTCCTTCACTGCTGGTGGGAATGCTGACTGGTTCAGTCCTTTTGGAAAACAGTATGGACAATTCTCAAAAAATTAGAAATTGAGCTCCCATTTGACCCAGCAATCCCACTCCTGGGAATATATTCCAGAGAGGCAAAAAAGTATAGTTGAAGTGACATCTGCACTTGTTTGTTCATTGCAGCACTCTTTACAATAGCCAGAATCTGGAAAAAACCTGAGTGCCCAAGAACAGATGATTGGTTAAAGAAACTTTGGTACATCTACACAATGGAGTACTATGTAGCTGTTAGAAAAGATGAAGTCATGAAATTTACATACAAGTGGTACTACATCGAAAGTATCATGCTAAGCGAAATGAGTCAGAAAGAGAGGGATAGACAGAGAAAGATTGCATTCATCTGGGAAACATAAAGTACAAAATAGGAGACTAACACCTAAGAATAGCCGAGATAAGTACCAGGAGGTTTACTCCACGGCTTGGAGGCCAGCCAAACATGCTAGGGTAAAAGGCAGCTCAGATAGAGAAGAAAGAACCATGTAAAGGGTGTTGGGAAGATCCTCCCAGGATGGGAGAAGCATGCTGAAAGTAGACTATAGACTGAACATGATTGCCACTCAATGCTTCTTTTGCAAACCACAGCACCCAAAAGGAGAGAGAGAACAAAAGGGAATGCCCTGCCACAGAGGCAGGGTGAGATGGGGGGTGGGAGGGATACCTGGATCCGTGGTGGTGGAAAATGGACACTGGTGGAGGGATGGGTACTTAATCATTGTATAATTGAAACCCAAGCACAAAAATGTGTAAGTCTACTACTGTACCTTTTGGTTTGTCACTAATAAAAATTTTTAAAAAATGGATGTTAGAGCCCTTATTTGATAAAGTCCCCAATCTGTCTTTACTCGGGTTTCCCTTTCACATGGGTAAGTCACATCACTTACTGCTTAGCATTGAGTCTAGTTTGTTTCTTTTATTGAGAGACTTCATGGAACTTTTGGAGCTGGGAAGTGCCTGCTGGTCTGGTGTTGATCTCAATTGTTTTATGGTGCACGTTCAGACAGGTCATGAGTACCAAGCACTCATGGGCACTTTTTGTAGGAGGTGACCCGACTCTCCCAGATTTAGAAGCTGTGGGGAAGCCTTGGTAACTGGGGTCTTGTTAGCAGATAAGCAATCATCAGCATGGCTGTTCTTTTATTTATTCAGGAATCTATTCAAAAACACCAGTCTTCACAGCTGCTATTTTATACTGTTGTCTGGCATTTGTTCCAGAACATATGGATCTGAGGCTATAGTGCTTCACTGCCAAAGGAGAGTGTGACGCTGGGGGCTCATTAAACTGGCTCCTACTTTATTCTGCTCTGAGGGGGATATCTCTCCCTACGCAACCTCAGGCAATCATCCATGTCTCTCTCTCTCCACAGATCCTCTTCAGCAGCAGGGAAGTGATCATTGTATAATTGAAACCCAAGCACAAAAATTTGTAAGGCAGGAGATTTTAAGAAACATTGATGTAAACTTAGTGAATGAACTACAGGACCCCAGTGTGTGACCCTCTGGTCCAAAGTGATCTAAGGGCCAATTTTCTAGTAGGAAGAGATTATTTTTTGCTTTTTGTAAAGCCCAAGATATCTATCTTAGAGCAGATCAGTTTACAGTGGAGTTTGACTCCCCCTGTACTTGATCCCCAAGAGCTCTGAACAGGGTCAACTGTGCATAGATGCTTACGTCCAAGAGAAACTCCACCAGGACATCAGCTGCAAATTCACCATCAAACTCAATTGTGCGATCACCCTTAAGAACATACAGGCTTCCTTCTTCATCAAAACCTGTAGAAAAAAAGAATTCCTGGATAAAGTCATCTTCATGGAGGGTCAACAAATGTGTTGACCAACATCCGACTTAGGGTGAGTGTGGGTTGGGATCAACAGAACAAGCACATTAACCTTAGGATGAGTTTCTTTGAAAATGCTCACTTGGAAAGTCTCCCCAAAAGGAAAGCATCAAGGTTCAACTATTCTACGTGAACTTTAACCTAAAATAAAAACACATTCACTACTTCACCATGACTTTAGTTTGTTTGTTAGACTAAAGAAGAATATGCAAGGGGGCCTAGAAGCCAGCAATGCCTGATGGCAGTGGAACACTGTGGCATAGCAGCCAATGCCCTGGCTGTCAGATTGGGCTCTGAGGAAAGCCAGTTAGGAGGTTATTGCAATAGTTTAGGCAAAGTCTGATGGAGACCAGACTTGGGTCATTGGAAGAGAGAGTGGAGATACGGTAGCAGGTTCCCAAGAAACAACTGTCCCATGAACTCCAGGGCCAGTGCCAGGAAGAACTGCTCCAATCCTTCAGGCTGAGATTGGGGAAAGGCTCGTTTAAACTGAGTAAGCCCATCCCAACCTCCACATGAGGAATATACATGGGTCTGTTCTTTTGAATATATGCTTAGTTTGAACCACTTAAAATTTCAGATTGCTAGAATACCGAAATTTTTCTTGAACTAAATTTACTATAAATTTTCTCATTAAGGTCAAAGGAAGGTCAGGGAGATAGCTCTGGGGTCAGAGGTGCATGCAAGGCATGTTCAAGGCCTGAGATGTATCACCATTGACCTGCAGTCCCTCCCTGAGAACCAGTGAGTGTGGTTCTGGTGTCCTCCAGTATTGAACTGACCAGCACAGGTTGTCAGAACAAATGCCAGACAACAGTAGAGTGTTGCTGGGAGGGACCCTGGGCACCATGAGTACTGCTTGGAAGGTGGAAGGACCCCAAAATAAATTAGATAAGTCATTATATCTAATGACTAAAACAAACCATGGGAAATGCGAAAGAAAATCAGAGTTTCTAGGGAAGTGACAGCTCTTTAGTTGCTTTTGATTAGGGAAGAGTTGAACATACTTCGCTATCCTACTGAATGGACAAAATTGCCTTGATTTGTCTCTAAGAAAAGTCGAACTTCCAAACATTCGTAACATTTCATTATCAGTTTATAGTCATGAGTCCTTCCATGTGTTCAACCCAAATATTTTCTGTCATTTAAATATTAAAAAAATAATAAAACCACCTAAAAACTAAATAAAGAGTCTGGTCATCTTGAAAATGAAAAAGAAAACCCAAAAAGTCTAGCTGTTTGTGATTTCCTAGGATAATGAAATTTAGTTGTGTGTGAAAGTTCTATCACTACTAATCTTTGTTCCCTCCCTGTGCATGCTACTCCAAATCCAATTAACCTTTCATAAAAGACCCTGTCTTATAACCTCCTGCTCTTTTTCATTGCCATTCTTCACCGGCCATGCTGAAAAAGCAGAGCTGGCAGTACACGTGTGTGGGTGTTGGAAAACCAGGGGAGTCGTCTATAGTCTCTCTCCTTGGGATTAGAGGTATAAAATTCTTGAAGTGCACATGCATTTAAGCATGACATATTGATGAAAAAGATTGCACCTTGCCCTCTGTAATTATTTAAATAATATACTTCTAAATTGCCTCTGTCCAGCTAGACCTGAATTTTAGATTTAGAAGCCCCCAGAATCTCTACATCATTACCTCTAATGCTATCTTTATTTACCATTAGTAACTGGCTTATTTAATCAAAACGTAAGGGAGTGATAGGTGATGGAAGAAGAGATTTTTTTTCTCTTTCAATATGGCAGAGAGATTGAGATGTTGACCTTTTAAGCCTGAGACCTAAAAATAAAGAATTGACTCTTCAGAATCAGTTTCTTGAGGAAGAAATACTCTTTTTTGTACTGGTACAGATATACTTGATGATTCAATGTGAAATCATTCATTAATGTGAAATATTCAAACCAATATTTATTTGTGTGAGACTCTTCCTCAGTCCAAGGCTTAGAAAAATCAAAATCATTTTTATATTTATTTAAAAATAATGCAACTAAGATGCCAAAAACAACAAAACATTTTCCCCAAAAATACATTTATATTTTACTGCTATATCTCAGAAATTACACTCACCCAATTTTTTGGCAAGCTTGGCCTCCTTCTTGGCATCCACCATCGCAAAGCCTATGTCTTTATGCTCCAGGACCTGGGCCACAAGCTAAAGGAAAAGACACTTAGAGAGTAAGCAAGTCGAGAGCAGGAAATTGGCAGAAAATGTCAGCAGACAACATTCAGACGGACCAGTCTTCTGTTACTCTGGACCAAGGAAGGCAGCTGGCTGGAGAGCTGTTTAACATCTCAGAACAGGGGTGATCCGGCAGGATGTTTAGAACCAAGGGGAGAATTTGTAAGATATATGATTTGGAAGCATATACCCACTGTCAAGTATATGACTACTGTCATAAATATTGTCCTATGCCTTCAGGGTCAATGACATTTTTTCCCTAACTTATTTAAATATACGATACGATACGATACGATATTATACAATGACGGGCTGGAGCAATAGCACAACGGTAGGGGTTTGCCTTGCTCGAAGCCAACATGGCCGACCCGAGTTCGATTCCTCCGCCCCTCTCGGAGAGCCCGGCAAGCTACCGAGAGTATCTAGCCCACACGGCAGAGCCTGGCAAGCTCCCCGCGTCGTATTCGATATGCCAAACACAGTAACAACAAAGTCTCCAATGGAGACATTACTGGGCCCGCTCGAGCAAATCGATGATCAACGGGAGGGCCTTTACCTTTACCTTTATTTAAATACCGTGGCTTACAAGTTGATCATAATATAACTGTTTCAGGCAGTCAGTGTTCCAGCACCAGTCCCACTACAAGTGTGACCTTCTGTTCAGCACTACCCCCAGTTTCCCATCCACTTCCCAAGCCTTCCTCCTTAGCAGGTACAAAATTATTTATTTTATATTTCTTGTTACACCAAAATGGTAAATAGAATTATCAAAAAATAGTTCAGTAAAAAAAATTGTGAAAATTGTCACATCTCACAATTAAAAACGTGATCTGAGGATTTACTGAGCTGCTTGTTGAGTCCTCTTTGAGTCCTCTGAGTTATTTTCATTTTCTAGCGAGCAGACTTCTATTCTACTTTCCCATCTAAGTTGTTGTGCTCTTACTGGGCTGTCAGTACTGTGGAATTGGGAGTTGTCACATGCTCCAGGAGCTACAAAACTGGGACAATTCTTTGGTATGGCATCTTTTGAGATTCAAAATGAAGCTGTGAAACTGGGCCATTTATATGGTGGAAGCTGTGGGGTATGGATAGGGCTGCTGGGGCTTCTGACAGTACAAGGGGACTGGAGGAGGGTGGGTCAATCACATTTGAATCGGGAAAGGAAAGAAGAGAAAAGTACTGGGATTCTCTGGATACCTGACAAAAGGTCTCAAGCCCTTCCCCATCACCAAATGAACCAGGCGTGAAGCAGGGATCCAAGAGGACACTAAATAGGCCAGGCGATAAAGGAGGTCAGTGTCACTAATACCAAAACAGTGTACCCAAGTCCCCCCAAAGCCCCTGGACTTGTGAAGGCGGAAAACTCATTGGGTCTACTTGTAGATTTAAGAGACTCCCTAAGATTTTCTGAAGGAAGGACAGAAAGGAAGGATAAATAGATGACTTGGTGTGGGATGGTCAGTTCCAAAAATAGTGAGGGAACTGCAGTGTCCTAGGTGGGCTGGTGGTGAAAACTGCTCTAAGAGGACATCAGTGCAGGTGGAACCCTGATGATACCCAACTCCGGACTGGTATCACATTCAGCTCCCTCACATTAACTAAAGTGAGTTGGGAGCTCCTCCATCGACTAAGCCTAATTCCTGCATTCTGACTGATGAAGGACTGATGAAGAACTCAAAATAGAAATATAGAGGGGGTCCAGGACAGAGAGTACAGGGCTTAAGGTGTTTGCCTTGCATGCAGTTGATCCTAGTCCAAACCCTGACACTGTGTGTGATTCCCTGAGCACTTCCAGGCATGATACCTGAGCACAGGACCAGGAGTAAGTCCTGAGTACTGTCTTGTGGAGCTCCAAGGTACCCAAAACAAAACAAACAAACAAAAACTAAAGGGAGTGGAAAAGCTACCAAAGAGATCATGAAATATTAACGACACTTTTCCTTAGTTAAACATTTGTTTAGTGATAACGGTTTGATAACTATTTAGAGATAATTTCTCAGAGATGTAATAAAGAATACAGAATCCCTAACACATTTTCCCCAATTTTCTCAATAGTTACTCCTTACACAACTGTAACACCATGTCACAAACCAGAAATTGGCCTCAAAATAGTCAAGCACAGAACATTTCTTCTTCCATGAGGGACCCTCATAAGCTTTTATAGTCATACCCACTTGTCAACCTGAACACCGTCACTAATCCCTGAAAACCCCAAATATGTTTTCCATTTCTATATTTTCCTCATTCTATTAAGATAACGTAAGTTTAATCAGATAGTGTATAATCTTGGGAATGGATTGTCTTCATCATTAATCATATTTTTCTAGCAATTCTTTTAGATTGATTCTTGTGTCCGTTGATTATTTCTCTTTTGGGGGGTACAACCAGCATTGCTCCAGGGCTTCTCCTGGCTCCATATCAGGGAATATTCCTGGTGGTACTTGGGGACAATGCAGTGCCAGTGATTGAACCCAGACATCCCACATGCAAAACCCATGCTCAGACCTTTCAGCTGTCTTCCTGACTCCTATCACTCCTTGTTATTGCTAAGTAGTATCTTTAAAGTTTGAACATGATTTGAACAACCATCATTTGTAGGTCATTCACCCACTAAAGCCATTTGGATGCTTCTGCTTTTTGGCATTACAAACACACATTTGCTTACAGGCTCTCATGTGAAGGATGGTCTTAGTTTCTCTAGGAGAAACTCTCAAAAGTGCAATTTTTAATTCATACTGTGATTGCATTTTAGTTTTTAAGCAGAGCAGAAATTGCTTTTTAGAGTAACTGTACCACTTTACGTTCTTACCAACAATGTGCTGATGAGTAATCCAGTTCTTCAGTATTTTTGCCAACTTTGGGTGTTGTTTTTTATTTTGCACTGTATTCATTCTAATAAATGTATAGTGACATCTTATTATGGTTTTAATTTGCAATTTCCAAACACAAATTCTGATTTTCATGTATTTATTTGATATCTGCATTTTCTCTTCCATGAATTATCTAGCCCTGACTTTTGACTAGTGTCCAAATGTATTTTTTTTCCGTTGCATTCTGACAGTTCTTTGATAACCCTCCTTGGTTAGAGATGTACAATAAACACTTTTATGAACATTTTCTTCCACTCTAAGGCTTATCTTTTCATTATCTTAACAGTGATCATAAATATTTTCATTATTTTACTTCATAGGACAAAAGTTTTTCATTTTAAGTTCAAATTATCAATTTAAAAATTATGCATTATATTTTTGATGTTGAATCAAAGACATTTGCTAGCCCTAAATACTAGAATTTTTCTCAATTTTTAATAAAAATTTTACTTTTTGCATTTAAGTCCATGATCCACTTTGAATTAAATTTTGTAAAAGATGTGAAATATATATATTTCAATTCCTTCCCACCCCATGATCCAACTACTTCATATCATTTGTTAGAAAGACCAACTCTTCCCTTGGAATTGCTTTTGTGTCTATGTCAAAAATCAGTTGACATAATTGTGATGTCTTATTTCTAGTTTCTTTATTTTGGCGCATTTGTGTCTGTCCCTCCAGTATTGAAAGTGGTTTGACTGCCAGTTAATCCTTCTTTCCCAAAATTGTTTTAGCCAGTCTTTGTTTATATTACGGTATCAGCCAGGTTAATCTTGTATATATTTACCCAAAAGATTGCTAGGATTTTGATAGGATTTGCATCAAACCTTTAAAACTGTATAGAAACTTGAAGAGAATTGACATATTTACCAGGTTCTGTCTTCCAATTCATGGAAATGGTATGCCTCTCCATTTATTTAGATCTCTGTTTCCACTGATCAGTGTTTTATCCTCCATCCAGTCTCTTTTTTTGTTATTATTGTCCTCAATGCAGTGTACTAGGAGGGGCAAACATTGCTGCAGTACTCTCATACTGGTTGCTGTATTCACATATTAGGTTTTGGTGCTTTTAAACGTGGTTCTGGTCCAATTAAATTGTTGCACAGCTGGTTCCAGTGCTCACACATTGGGCTGCACCTCTGTTATGGTCACACACTTGCTAGTGTTGTTATGGATCACACGGGCAAGTGCAGATTGGACTTAGGTGAAGGAGGTTAGTCTGGAAATCAAACTTGCAGCCTCATGCACGAAGAATGATGCTCTCCCACTGATTCACATCTCCAGGGCTTGGTACTTGTGGTTCTTAGAACAGTAATTTCATCCTTGTTCTGTTAGACTTAAATTTAATGTAAGATTAAAATGTAAGGGCTTAACTACACATTTATTTTAAATAATATGTAATGCCAGAGACTGAGCCAAGGTCAGTCACATGCAAAGCAAGCACCTTAACTGCTATCCTATCTCTCCGGCCTGTTCTTAGAGGATTTGATGTATACAAACATGTCATATGCAAATAGTAACTCTTTATTATTTCTTTTCTAATTATTATGCTTTTTATTTCCTTGTGTTTTCTTAGTTCATTGGCAAGACTTAACAATACCATGTTGATTAAGGGAGGTAAAAGTGTATGTGTTTTCTTGATCATTACACATCTGCTTTTTTCCTCTTCAAATCTATCATATAGTAATGTCACATGTGTTAGGATTTCTGTTTGCTTGGTGATTGACTCTGGGTTTATTTGACTGTTCCATTTATGCAATAAATCCCCCTAATTTCTCTTCTATGAATTGTTTCTTTTGTTTCATTTTTGTTTCTACGCCTTCCTTTATTCTATCCCTTTATATTTCTTCATCTGTTCTAATCTGTCTGGAACTGCCTTTGCCTGCTCACTCTTCTTTCCCTGATCTTGTATCCTTTCCTATTTCTTTCTCTCTAAGTATTAACTACTCCTTTCCTCTAAGACAAAGGATATTGGGCATAAGTGTTGCTATGTAGAGTTACTTAAATAATTGGGGATTGAAAGACAGATAGCATATGACATTCCCTGTTCCTTATGTGTTTTTATTTTTATTCTTGAATTTTGGATGGGACTAGATAAGCTGT